CAGAATTGATGGCCTTCTCAATAGTAACTATGCTTTCAAATTTAACACTATCATTAATACTGGATACATCAGGATATTTTTTGGCCTTCTCAATGGTTACACCATCATCCACGTTGTGTTCATCAGAAAAATTGACTGCCTTCTCAATGATTACCTTGCCTTCAGTATTGACAGCATCATCTACACCGTGTGCATCAGTAGAATCTCTTGCCTTCTCAATTGCTGCACTATCAGATATACTGTGTTCATCAGAAGAATTATCTGCCTTCACAATGGTTACCTTGCTCTCACATTTCACACCTTCATCAATACTGTGTTCATCAAGTAGAATTGTTTGCCTTTTCTGTTATTTTCTTATTTGTGATTGTATCATCTGGATTCATTTGATTAAAATCATCATCACATTTTACATGTAGGTTTTCATCAAATGACCCACTATGTGTGAGACTATCAGCATCAGATAATTTGTGGACTGCTCCAACACATTCATAATTATCAGCAACTTTATGTTTAACAGCTGAAACCTCTCCATTATCACGCTCCGCTTGCATATTTGGCAATGAATCATTCTCAATTCCTTCCATTTCGCAGCCTGTTGTTATGACAAAACCAATAGGACTACACTGCTTTTTCCTATCAGGATAATATAGACAAAGTTTGCGCTTAGTACCATGGGAATGGCCATCAAGGATTACATCTTCTAAAGGTTTCTCATCACAAGGTTCAATTTGTTTACTTCGCAGCCTAAGAGTTAGCACATCCAAATCACTCTCATCACTTGTTGCTGCACCATGAGATCCAAATTTCAGTATTCGACTTGCTGCTCCTTCCATAACCTCCTCGCTGTCTGAATCACTCTGGGTTTGTATTGACAGTGAAATGTCTTCTTCCTCTGACATTATGCATTGAACTTCATTCTGGCCCTCTTGTGTACATGACACGCCTAGTAACTGCTGATGTGACACTTTGGTACATACTTGTGATTTCTCGTGCATGGAGATTGTTTTATGTACACCATGCAACTTCACAGATGATGAATTAAGAATGCTGTCTTTGTCAAACTCTTTGGGGGTAGAGTTACAAATTGGAAACTCATTCATCTCCTCCTTAGGCATTAAATGACACTGGACAATTGGATACTCTTTTGATACACTGTAATTCTGTTGTAACCCTATCTCTACAATATTTTCATCAACATTACCTAAATCTCTGTTCTCAGATTGTCTATGATCTCCATCCAAGGTTTCTACATCTTTCCCACTTTCAAAGTGCAAAGTTGATTCATCTGTACCATCCTCTGAAATGCTGAAACAGAATTCCCCTTCTTTTGCCTGCAAGAGCATAGATTCATTCTCTGTTTCTATACTGAATATATCATAACTTTCTTGAGAAGATGGCATTTCTAACAAAGGTGTAGAACTCATACTTTCTAAGTCTTCTGTGTAGCACACTCCTGCTTCAGAGTCTTCATAAACAAGCGACTTGCTGATACACCTGGATGAAACAGTATGGTTTGGTTCAGTAATGATCATTTGAGATTTGGAAGGTTCACTTTTCTCAATATCCCTCTGTAAATCATTACTACCTTGAGGCTTTGTAATTTCTTCTTCTCTAATAAGTCCCACATCGCACTCACTGGAAACAAAACTGTTTTCATCAGTAATAGTGTTATTCTCCTTTACTGAGATTTCTTGTTCAACATTCACAGTGCTATAATCAATGGATTCAGACCTTACACAAGTCTCATCATCTATACTGTAGTTAATAAGACCATCATTAATATTGTCATCCAATTCATTGTTATGGGTATTATGTTCACTATTTATGTCTCTATTGTCAACACATGGTATGCTATGGTCATATTCATCATCAGTGCTGTCAGGATCAATTGTTAATTTTCTGTCAATATACTTGACTCTTCTGATATCCTTCGCTGGTAATTGAAATACAATACTACCATCATGCTCTGAAAAAGACCCGCTGTCTTCAGAACAAGAATTACTGACAACGCTCCCATCTGAGAGAAAGCCCTCTACGTCAGAATTAAAGTTTCTCTCTTTTTCAAGTGAGTCTGCTATTTCAAAACCAACATTTTCGATTACCATAGCAACATCAGAGGAAGGCTTGTTATTCTTTGCACAGGGATCCTCAAAAACTACCTTTTCAACCATTGTAATGCAGTTAGTGACCTTCTGTTCTTTTTCTTGTAAATTCTTTTTTTTTCTTGAATCTATCACCAACTTAACAGTTGCATCGTTCATTAACATGACAACATCAGAAGAAGACTCAAGTTCCTTGGTACAATCATTGCTAGCATCTCTCATGATGTCCTCTGGTTGGTATTGTTTTCTAAATATCTCATTTTCTCTTGTGTGTGGCACCTCAAAATTGGTCTCTTTCATTACAATGGCACACTCTACTTTTTCAAGTCGTGAAATGACATTACTGTCTTTCTGCTGGTCTTTTTCTCCTAGTTTCTCTTTCTCTGTTGATTCTGCTTTATTAACCCTGGTAACCTCCATTACCATAGGAATATTAGAAGACTTGCAGCCCTTTGTACCAGAATCAATAGCGACAACCTTTTTATCTGGCATAATACTATTGTCATTCAGTTGGTCATGTTCTTGTAAATACTTTTCTAAAGTTGATTCTGCCATCTCAACAGTGATATCTTTGATTACTGTGGCAACATCAGAGGAAGACTCCATTTCCTTTGCTGAAGAATCAATAACAACTATTTTTTGATCTGGTGTTAAGTTGTAAGTGTGTTTTTGTTGGCCTTTTGCTAATAAAATCTCCTTTTCTGTTGATTCTGTTTCTATTGCCACGGGAGTATCAAAGAAAGACTTGCTGTCATGTGTACAGAAATTAATATTGTCTAATTTTTCATCTGGAGTAATGCAGTTATTGTCTTTCTGGTTGTCTTTTTTATGCGATTTCTTTTTTTCAATCGAGTCTGCTAACACCACAGCAACATCAGAGGAAGACTTGGTGTCTTTCATATGTATATCATCTACTTTTTTATCTGCCCTGATGTTCTCGTCTTCTTGTTGATTTTTTTCTCGCGAATTCTCTTTATCTACTGAGTCCGACATATCCAAATTTGTCCCAGCTATTACCATGGTAACATCAGAGAAGGATTTCATGGCCTTTGGACAAGAATAAATCTTGCCTACTTTTTCAACTGAAATGATGCAGTTATTGTCTAACTTTTGATCTTTTTCTTCTTGCAATTTCTCTTTTTCTGTTGAGTCTACCTTCTCAACACTGGCAACATGTATTTCATCTTTTGCACTAGAATCATTAGCAACCACTTGCTCAGCTGGCATTGTGTTTGATAATTCATAATCAACATGTCTTAGTTCTTTGCTATTTACAAGTACATGTTTCTCATCACTTGGTGGTATGACATCAGCAGCTGTTGAGTTAATGTCATCAATTAGTGTTTTTTTATCATTCCTTGGTGCAGCACTAGGTGATACAATACAAGGTAATATGTCATCATCACTCAGTGCTATTACATTAGCAGTTTGTTGAGTGATGTCATCTTTTGGTGGTATGACATAAGCAGTTGGTTGGTTGATGTCATCAGTTGGTGAGTTGATGTCATCAGTTGGTGGTTTTGTTTTATCACAAGGTAGTATCTCAGTAGTTGGTGGTAATACGAGGCCATTACTTGGTAAGTCATCACCACTCAATGCTATGACATCAGCAGGTACTGGTGTGATGTCATCTCTTGGTGGTATGACATCAGCAGTTGGTGGTTTAGTTTCATCACAAGATGATATTTCTGTAGTTTGTGGTGATACAAGGCTATTATTTGGTGAGTCATCATCACTCAGTGCTATGACATCAGCAGTTATTGGTGTGATGTCATCACTCGGTGGTTTGATGTCATCACTCGATGATATGTTGTTAGCAGTTAATGGGATGATGTCATCACTTGGTTTTATGTCATCACTGGATGGATTGACATTAGTAGTTGGTGGTGATATGTCATGATCACATGGTTTACATCGGTCTAACTTATTTTTGGAATACTGTTCCGATGAAGACCTCACTTTGAGTCCATCAAGATTTCTATGTGAAACTGCATCACCACTATGCCCTTAATAAAAAAAATCAAATAGTGAGTGTTATTGTGGTATTAATGGAATTAAACATTACTGGCATGCGCAGAAAAAGTACATAAAATCACATGAATTTATTTATGCAGGACATATATTTGAATGTAATTTTTGACAATTTTCTCGGTTCCAATGGTTCAAGTATTTCACAGAAGTGAGATTTCTAAATCACAATGTTAACAATTTGCATTTACTAACACAATTGCTGCATAATGAAAATACAAACCATTCCAATCAAATGTGGAAATAATGCACATGCATCAAAATAAGGATTCAAGCTGGCAGCACATACTGGAGTATTATATGGCAAATACCTGGTTGTGGATCATATGACATGGTACTTGCTCTTGGTCTGCTCATGGGTTTTTTAAACCCAATGGAACTGTCCATTGAAGTATCAACAGCAGTATTTTTGTTAAGTCTAATTTTCTGTAAGTAAAGAAAATATAGAAGTGTGAATTAATTTAGAAAATTACAAATCATTGGCTTCGTCAAGATACCATGGTTAGCAGAAAAGCAGGAGATAGAGGGGTGGGTCATGCCACACATCGTAAATGGCAAGTGTATAAGAAGTTTAATGTAAGCACAACTTTGCAGATAAACCAAAGGAACCTGGGAACCTCTCTAAACTGCCAAGTATTTTTCCCCATTCTGTACTCAATGGAATATGGTGAAAAGTTGCTAAACGCAAAACCTGTAAATCATTAAGTTGTACAGTGAAACTTGTCTAGCCTGTAACATTTTCCAAGCTTAGAACTGCGATGTGAATGACATGTGAAAATCACCATACATTTTCTTGGTTCTTTTGTCATATTAGACCATACATTTGTAATAGACATATTTGAAGTTGGAAGGTTATATCGGTTAAATTTCATGTGATCCAATGTTCAGGCGGTATATTGATTTCTCGTTTTTGTTGTACAGTACCGTCCATGTGGCTTTTAACGTTAATGCTGGCGGCCTGTCAACTCTAACAATTAACACTGTCGGCGGCTTTTAACAGTGATTTTTGAAAAGACGTTGGCTTGCTGCAATGTATTGAGCAGGAGACCTTATTAACATAACAAAAAATTTAATTTTTTGATCCATTAAAGATTGAAACCTTCACTTGTTATTTCTGCTTCGCATGTGATACTAAATCTCGAAATGATTATCTTGGTATTGTCAACATTTATGTCTTCTAAGCTGTGTTTACTGGCACATGAATTTTGGAATCTTGATTTTGCTCACAGACCAAAAATACAAGATTATTTAACTGTGCTTGCATTATTTTTTATTTAGGCATAACGACTATTTTGTGAACATTTCCCCAAATTATAGATTACTCTAGATTTGTCTAGATAATGTTTTTTGAGATCTCCGTGGACTGTATATAATGATATGCGCGAAACTGTTATTGTTTTGGAAGTGCCAAAAGAATCAATCAGGCCATCAGCTAAACTCCGGAGCAGGTTTATACTGTTTGATAGAAGGAAATTAAAGGATTGTGTGTTTTACAAATTTATGCTATTTAATAAACTGCCTTATTCATATTTTTAAATTTACAGCTATCAGGGGTGTTTGGAAATGAATTCACAATATGTGAAGATTGATCTCCGGTTTGACATTCATGGTGCAGTCTCTTGTGTCAATCTGAAGAATTTTGAACAAATGGGAGCATTGCTTTCATTTATTTTGTAGAACTTTCCCAGTTGTCATGTAAACACCTGCTTTTCCAAATCACTTTGGGCTGTTTATATGTACGCAATTGTTATTGTTTTGAATTGTCAACAGAAACGATCCGGCTGACAGTGACGAGTCACATGTGCAGAAACAACCAGCTCAACTGTGAAAGTTTAAAGTCTGTCATCGCTCTAGCATAGGGTTATATTAATACAAACTGTTATACATATTAACAGTATATGAGAAAAGTTGATGAGTGTTCAACCTCACTGCTTGTTTGGCAGACATGGGGATTAACACATTTATGTACTAGAAGATGACTGTTTGGCATTCATTCGTTTCAGGTAAACTCTTCGACTTGTGATTGTTTGCAGGCGAATTGACATAAGCAAATAATAATTAACAATGTCGTTATATAAAACACTTTGTAAATATATCAACAGATAATGAGGATGGTGTGAATTTGTCAACTCTTTTGCTTCTTTCTCTCAAGGTTCACTTCACAAATACTTCACAAACATAGCTGTAATAATTACTTCAACATTTCAATTCAATAAATGTTTTTTGTTCTTCATTACGACTTTTCAGTAATTTGCATACTAATTTATTAACTATGTATATTGTTGAAAATACCTCAGTAAGTTTTAGGTGGATACAATTTTGCCCATTGGCTGTAACTCAATTTAATACACCTACCTAAAAACCAAAACCAAAATCAACATGAACATTCGTCAAACAGACGCAATATATGTCAAGTATATTAAATATTAAAAGTATTATTTCGTATTAAATATACTTGCCAGTCTTGTTGAAATGAGCTGTAAATATTGCCAATGCATACTGGGAATTCTCATTGTGTTGACATTTGCCAATTTGGGAAATGCTACCAGGCAATTGTTTTGAGTTTTGTATGTGGGATTACGTTGTCGCACCATGGTAAATTGAATACTGGCCATGCAGACACTGATTAAAAAATTGAAACTAGGACTAAAATAAAATAAGCTGTAAATTCAAAATAAGTTTATTATGAATTAAAGGGGAACTAAATAGAGCCTATTTTGATGTTTGTATTTATCAAGTTATGTATGTTGATTCTAAATTTTTAAAAAAAAATTTAAAAAATGATTATCTTCAGAGTTATGATAATTTAAATATGAGAAACCATAAACCTGCGAAGGACTTCCATTTGCGCCATCTTGCCATGAAAAACGCCCTCATGAGGTATAAACAGGTAAGGTAACAAAGCATGATGACAAAATAGTATCTGATTAAATATAAGCAACTTAGGAGCCATAGTTGGCTGGACTGGTGAATTGACTTCTAGTCTAGTTGTTTCGACTTTTACGTTAATGTTATTTA